TATAAATTGCTTTCGCTTGTCAAATTGGAAGGATTTTCAATGATTATAGTATAAGAAAATGTCATAAAAAAGGCATTCAAACAAATCATTATGAATGAGAGTGTCTAAAGGTTAAGCAAATTATATATTGAACAAATAACATCTATTTCTCCAGGTTTAACTGACATTATCAATATCTCTAAAAATTCATAATTCCAAATTTAACTTTGATGTGTAAGATTTTTATTCTGCTATATTTTCTGTCTAAGAATTTATACAAAACGAATAAATATTATAAATGGTATTCTAAGGACACTTTGCTTCTGTACAATTAAGCTGTAGATCAAATGAAGCGCTCAGTGCATTAGTAGTCTATCCAGCATTTTTGCAGAAATGAGTTATTACGTTCAATAGAGCTGTAATAGCCCAAAGAATAATGATATTTTTTCCATATACTTAGTTTACTCCTCTTTTCACTCTATTTTACAATAAGTTTGTTTTTGCCTTTTAAAAATTTTCTTGAAAATTAAATATTTAACGTTCAATCTCAATTTACTCGAAATGTCATTTTTGCAAGTAGGCCACTAATGCGCTGAGCGACTCAAATCTTTTTGCTAGGAACTACTAAATAATTATACTTAACATATTCCGATCGGAGCAAAATAAGAACTCTGAGTTGAAAATGATTTATAAAAGCGATAAACACATAAACAAGTACTATTGCAAAAGAGTTTGAGTAATTTTATTTAAATTAAGTTCAATGGATTCTGAAATACTAGATTCGTTCAATTTATTTATTTAAATTGTAAAACATTGATTATTATTTCAGATCTCAGATTTTTCAGATATTGAGATTTAATTAATAAGAATAAAAAAAATTTTGATTTTTCAATTTGATATTTTCTTTAATTTCGAAAATAATAAATAAAAACCGAATTCTAAATTAAATGTAATAGTCACGAAATACGAGTACATACGTAGAAGAAAATCAAAATTAACAGGATGCAAATTAACATTAATCATTTCATTACGAAAATTCGTATTATAATTTGAATGAATAATACAAAACTTCTACGTATATGTATATGTATAAGTAGATGAAACCCGAGCACATATCACAATTGATTTATCAGAATTAAAATGTGTGGTTGTATATATGGTAATCAATAATACGTGTTACTCGAATATTTAAGAATTTTTTTTTAAGCAAGGGAAAAAAAAAGAAAAAAACTGAATAAATTTTTTTTTTTATATTATTTGATTGAAATTTTATTTTTTTTTTCCTTTTAGAATTCTGCAGAAATCAGGTAAATGAAAATGTTGGGGATGCAAGGAAAAAAAATGAAAATCTAGCAAAGCAAACGTGACGTGTCGATTACAATATATTATAAAAATTGAAAAAAAAAAGAAAACAAAAGAATAAAGAAAGTGAAATAACCTGAGTTCAAAGTGATGAGATTTGTAAAAAAAAAAGAATTTTTTTTTATCAAAAGAAAATTGAAACTTTTCACATTTTCTTTTTAGTTTTCTTTTTGTGTTGCCAGGATTATTTTAAGATTTTGATCGTGTTATTTTGCAAATTTAAAATTTTCTTTTTTTTTCTACTTATTCTTCTTCTTTTTTGTTATATTTTTACGAGCTGTGAATTTATATACCCTTTAGAATGTTATAATAATATTTTTGTAATTTTTACCTAGAAATGTTTACCTAGAAATATCTAGAATACATATATGTACCGGGTATTTCATACCTAATTTAAAATTATATCTTAAACGAAAATATTTCAAAATTCAGATGGAAAAATTCAATCACTTCCTTATAAAATTAATGAAAAATTAGAGTATAATTAAAGAATTTCATGATTAAAAAATAACTTTAATGTTATCAATGTTATTTATAAATACACAAAATTAACCTCAGTCCACATAAATTTTTGGTACACACAAAAAAATTTTAAATATTTTCAAATTAAAATAGAAAATATTTGTACTCTCTTAATATTATTTTAATGCATGCTATTAAAAAATGTTGCCTTATCACTCAATTAAATTTTATTTTTTAATTTTTTTCTCATTTTTTTATAAGTTAATGAGAAGAGTTCTATAAATTTATAATTTCGAAAAAAATTATTTCTGGAGCATCATTTGGGCTTCGAACAGAGGTTTTTAGTCCCTTTTGTTTACGAGTGCTCGGAGAACTGGAGAACAGTTCTTCAGTACTCGGTACAAAGCTCACATTATGCATTAACATATTAGTTTAAAGGGAGAATTATAAGAAACTAAATTCAAAGTTTTTTCATCTGTGTAATTTTGTCTGTGTTTTACTACAATTTTTCTAGTTTCTAAAAAAAAAAAATCAAAATATTTTTCTTGATTTGTAGTGAAACGGCTACTTTGACAGAAACTTCAATTAAAATGTGTACATTTTTATGTAGATACTGATTTTGTGTTTGCTAATAATGTCTCTTTAGCCAGAATAGGAACATGTTTTGGAATATGTTCCATCGTACAAGTTCTTTTATATAATCTTGAAAGTATATTGTTAAACGAATGTATATTATTTTCAGATAGATGTATGTATATGTAATGTATATGGCGTTTAGGAAGATGCAAGCCGTATTATATTGGTCATCCTTAAATAATAATTAACATACAGTATTAATTCATATATAGTGGTATAGTATTTTAGAGTATTGCAATATCGGTTAGGCGGATTTTCTTTCAAACTTGAAAGCTTCGTTTTTAAATTGTCTACTCTGTGAAATTATAAAATGATAGCCCTGATCATTTCCTTCATATCCTCTCTTTATCTTTATTTTCCTCTCTCTGAAATCTACAAAAATTATAATAATATATAGAAAATTTAAGTATGCATTTGGGGAAACTGTTGTACTGTTGGTACTCCTAAATGACTTTGAACCGTTTTGAATGAGCCTTCGAAAATTTTTGCAAGCCTTGTATTTTGAAGGTTCTGATAAATCGCATTTCTCTACTGAATTTACTGAAAATTTGTCATATGACGTAGAATATTGACCCAAAACATTTTCTGTTCTTTTCCATGATTGGACTTCACGTAAAATGCAATGAGACACTTCATATATAATAAAATCGGATATTTATCATTAATAAAATGAAAAAAAAAATTTTTTCATATGAATTGAAAAAAAAAAAAATTTTGTTTGCATTGGTTTTTTTTCTTTTTCATTTCACTTTAACTTTTCCCAATATCTACACGGCTTTTATGTTTTCATTTTGTTTTATATTTCAAAGTTTTTTAATTAAATTTTATATATCACACTTTTTTTAAACTTTTTAAAATTTTCTTGTATTTTTTTATTTTATTTTATTATTAAAAAATACTTTTGATTAAATTAGAGATTTTGTTTTTGTTTCAACTTCTCGTAAATTAAATTTTTATTATTGAGGTATAAAAATTTTTCACATTAATTGATCCTGTTCGTTATGTTAGAAAAGTTTAGAACAAAAAATTTTTATAAAAAAAAAAAAAGAATTAGGTATTAGCAATATTTCTAAAATCACATTTTTGAAATATTTCAAATGTTTTTGAATTATTTGCACGTAATATGTTACAAAAAATATTCATTAAAAAAAAAAAAGAAAATCAAAATTTTCATTCTTTTTTGCAAAATTATAGCAATTTTGAAAAGTTATTAAAACGCATTCCAAATTTAAATTCGATTTATTTCATCGGTTTTATTTTATAACAAAAATTAGTTTTTCTTTTTCTGTTGTCGGCTCGTATAAATATTGTACAAAATATTCAAAATAAAAATTTCAATGTGTTGATTAGAAAAAACAAGTTGGAAACAAAAGACATTCATTTGTTAACCTTCATTTTATAAAAAAAAAATTTAAAATTAACTTTTGCGTGTAATGCCATCAAAATAGCCTTTCTGTGTTCAGAACTTATGGAATATTATCTACATCCATTATTACAAATTATAATTACAAATTTTTTGTGGGTAATCTAGTGCATCGAGAGAACTCTGCAAATCGTATATATTTCGGTTTAAATACCTTCTCAAAACTACTAAAATTTTTCATATATCTATAACACTGTTTTTCTTTTTTGAGCAAATGCAAGTACTCTTTGAACAAATGTTACAGCGAACTCTTCTGGGACTTCTTTGTTTTGTACCATACAGGTATTTTCCAGTTTAAATTTGGTTTTATATCATATAGAAGAAAAAAGTTCAGAGAGTTTCTCTAATTTTCATATAGCGATCATTAAATTTTTGTTTATATTCGTATACAATTCTAAAAATGTGATATTGGAAAAAACAGAGATATTGGAATTTGGAAATTTCATTTGTAATACCATATACCATTAATATGGGTAATTATTTTTTCAACTAAGACTAAAAATAATTTTCATAACTATATTCACAATATGAAATATTTAATTACAAACAAAATCTGAATTTCTTTACAGTTATCATATAAAAATTTTTTAAATACATGTAAATATAAAATTCATTATCTGATCATTGGTGCAGTGGTTTAACTGAAGGGTCTCGGGTTCAAACCCCGGTCAGGTCACTATAAAAATTATATTCAATATTATATAACTTAATATGCAATACTAATAAATATTAAACAAGTAATTTTCAGATATTCATAATATTCGATACTAAAAAAACTAAGAAAAATAAACAGTAAATATTAATAACCTCAAATAATTAATATAAATAAAACTACGGCAGGCTAGTCACCTACCTAGCTAACTCTCTATGACTATAGAAACTAAGACGTGATAGATATCATGCACTAGCCCTATACTCCTCCTAGGAGTGAAGAAGGAAAAAAAAGAAAAATATAAAATTAACATATTATCCTTCTTTATTATATCCTTATTTTAAAAGCTATAATGAAAAAAAATATATAATTTTAAAAGAAATATTTAATATTATACAAATATAGCTTGCTATTAAATTGCATTGGAAAACTTTGTTTTTTTGCTTTAAATTTTATTTTTAATTAAAAATATAATATTAATATTTTATTGAATAATTTTTAATAAGAAAAAATTGTATTCATAATTAAGGATCAGTTTTATATGGTGAGATTTTATTGTGTTGAAAATTAAAAAATGGTGTCAGTAATTCCAATGGTAATGGAAATATAATTGTTGAATTTTTTTCAGCTGATATACTGCATAATGTTTGCATATAACGTAATTGTAAAGCAGCAGGACTCTCTGATAGTGTATCTGATGCTTCCTTTAGTGCTCTCGATGATTTCATTTCACCTTCAGCAGCTATAACTTTTGCACGAGCCTAAAAAAATTTTAAAAAGGAGAAAATGTTATGCAATTTGAATAATGAGAGAAATAACAAAAAGAGTAGTGTAAACTGTTATACATTGTAAAATAAATGTTATATACTTAATTATAAATAATAAATCAGGGAGAAAGTTCGTAGTTGATTTGAACGTGTCAAACATTGGTTGAAAAATTCATTGCATATTATTTTTTAAGTTAAAAATTTCATTGAACCTTTTAGATTATTTGCAAAATTTATATTTATAATTTAATCAATCATTTTTAATTCAGTGAATGAGAATTTGTAAAGTTATTACAAATGTAATTTTTTTAATCTACTTGTGTACGTGTTGGTTTTAACGGATGGAAAAAAATAAAAATTAATCAAATAGAAAATTTTTTATAACCATTCCTATAAAAAAATGCTAAATAAAAAAATGTTATATTTAACATAGAATACACCATTGTAGATTGAAATTTTTGATACCTCTCTAGCTGCTTCAGCTTCAGCTGCCATTGCACGTTGTAAAGCTGTTGGTAATGACACATCTTTGCTGTAAATAAATAAATGTATAAAAAATGAAGAAGACTATTTATTAGAAAAAATGTAATTTTAAAATTAAAAATTAATGGAAAATGAAAAAAAATTGAACTCCTATAATATTCTGACTGGTGGAATACGAGAAACGAAAACTGATTTCAATTTCAATTACATATATTTCATATTTTGATATTATGTACTAATTCCAAATAAAGGGATTATTCATGAGCGTATAACTACATACATTGTAAATGTTGGAGCAATAATGTTATTGTAAAGAATAATTTGATTTTCGTTCCTAAGCCGCTATAAGTGTTATACTATCAGTTCGAATTCCGGTAAAATCTAAATATTTAACATGTATACCGAGCCACTCGTACATTTATTTTACCGGGTCCGTCTAAAAATTCTAAAAATACCGAATTTTAAAATATTCTTCCCAGTAAATATCACTTTGATGTAGAAATGAGTATTCAAATCCATTACTCATCCAACATTCTTTTGAAGAAGAGTTTGTAAGTTAAATGGATAATTTAATACAATTTTGTTTTCCAAACAAACAAAGATTATATATGTCGCTTCGAATTCGCTTGAGTCATCAATTAATTTTTGAAAAGAATCTTTTTCAATAGATAGTCGTGTCTTAAATTTTCAAAGATTATCTCAATTCTTATGTTTTTTAATCATGCAAGAAATTTCGAAATAAAATCCTGCCCACAAAAAAAACAACTTAGAAATTCAAAATATTATTTCCGTCCAATATTTTCTTTGATCTTCTATTCATTTTGAAAACTGAATTAAAAAAATTTTTCCAAAATTAAGAAATTTAAATTCAAAAATCAACAAACTTTGAAATTAATTCTCGTAAAACTCATTGCATATAGTCTTATAAAACGGCATATACATAAATAAATCTACATATGTGTATGGGTATCCTATATAAGTATAGAACTTAACTATACTTTTTTGCAAAATAATTTCATTTCTAACTTTAAAAAAAAGTAGCATCATATGTTTTATACTTATTTATTTTGCTAATTATTGTTCTGTACACTAGCTATGAAAAAAAAATATATACTTACAAAAATTAACATTTACCTTGTACACCTTTATTTTTTTATAATTCTGTTCTACTTTTTGTTCTCTTTTTATCTATAAATTCTTGTTACTAAAGCGTACTACATACACAAAAACATTAGATTGTACTATTATTAAGTATGTGTAAGTATGTAAGTATATAGCTATCTGTTTTGTCTATTATGTGCATGAAAAATTCTACTTTCTGTAAAATTTTCTACATACATACATAGTATAAATATAATATATATGCGATTAATAATATTGAAAATGTTTTCAAGCATATAATTGACTTGACAATCCTCACATTAGATGAACAAGGACTCTTATCTATATTATATATTTAATGTGTATTTTTATTATTATTACTGTTATTAATGCAATATACATATTTGATGGAATTAAAAAAAAAAAAATAAAAACGAAAATTTGAAAACAAGAGCTAAAGTGTCTCTTTCGTTTTTGTTTTTCTATTTTTTTTTTCATTTAATACCCGTATGTATGATGGTAATATTAAACCTACATAATATTATACAATCTATATATTATTATCAATATTTTTATACATACATTTCAACTCGTTCCACTTTAACACCCCATGGATCTGTAGCTTCATCTAATGATGTCTGCATTGTATGTGATCTAAAATAAAAAAAAATATATATAAAATATTTTATTAAAATTAAATTGTATATGTTTTTGAACATAAAATATTATGTGTAATACATACATATAAAATTTAAAATAAAATCAATAAGATAAAAAAAGGAAAATTTGAGTATATACGTTAAGTATATAAAGTGGAAAAAAATAAAATTGAGAGAGAAGCTTATTACAAGAGATTATTAGTATAGCGAGTACTCTAGTATTTTTTAAGTACATATCTTTACCTATATCAATAAATTTTAATATTATATTGTGTACAAATATTATTATAAAATAAAATCAAGTGTAATATTATGTGAACATACACAAATGCACATAATAATGCATAATTCTGTAAACAGTATAATATTTTCACATATTTATAGATTAATCAATAGTAATTTTTAAAAGTTTAAAATATTTTTTTTTCAAGGATATAGCTACACTCTATATAATAGATATACGAGTAGTAATTATTAAAATATTTAATTTAAATATTGTGCTATTAATCTGTCATATAGGTGGAATAAAGATTCTTTAAAAATTTTTTATTTATAAATGTGTTACAAGTGCTTCAATATTTCAACATTTAAATTATTTTTCGTTGCAGTACCAATACTGAAGTTGACATCTTTTAATTTAAAAATTATATATTTTGCATATTTTTAGGGAAATATATTTAATATGTATAACAATAATTGTTCTCCAGCTATAACTTGGTATCGGTGTTTATCTGGAGTTATGTATTAAAAGCGAATCAAGAGTCAGACAAGAAAGCTGAATAATAAGAGAGTAACTTGGAAAGGGAGAGTGTTGAAAAAATATTTCTCTTCTAAGAAAATAAATTATTGTTGTCAATGCCACAAACTGTATAACATATACATAAGTCTTAAAATATTTTATAATTTGCAATTAAAAATTTCATAACATTATTTCAACAATTATTACAATACTATCACAATTTCTTGCTGTTATATTGTTATAGCAGTTATTGTGACAATATTATAATAAACAATACAAAAATTTTGGGTAACCATTATATTAGAGTTTTAAAAAATCTATTGGCACACAAGTCTCTTACACATATGGAGCCATAAAATATTAATAAAATTTTTTACAGAAGTGACATTTAAATTTAATAATAATGAAGGTAATTGAAAATTTGTATATTTGCTAAAAAATTTTGTCTTCTACTATTTTTACATTATGATTATAAAAAATTTAATAATGTTATAATTTAAGCGTAAATTGAGTTCATTTCTAATCAATGTGAGTCATCAAACTTATTAAAAATTTTGAAAGAGTGTTAATTATTATTTAATTTTATTTTAGAAATTTTAAAAGTTAATTTGTAAATTTAATAATTGTCAAACTTTTATGCTCTTAATATTTTTATATGACTTGTATAATTAAAAATTCCACATAAGCAGTGGGGGATTGTTAATTTTTAGTACTTTTCCAAAATAAGTGAATTGGAATAAAAGTACTTATTAAATAGCAGATTTGAAAGAAAAATCTTTATAATTTTGGTAATTTTGATAATAATTGCCTAACCTTATGGCTTAATAAAGTACTCGAATTTTAATAATATTAAGTTAATTGAAATACAATTGTATGAACAGCTAAGTATAGAATATGTAATTAGATTAGCTATTATAGAATAGGTAATGAGAATATTAAAATTAATAAGGTATTTGTTTATTGTAATTGCAAAAGAAAAATTTATAAAAATTCATCCTTTTTATTAAGTTTTAAGTAATTAGTGTTTCAGATGTTTTAGGTGTGTTATTAAAATCATATGCCTGTTATTAAGATTGAGTTCCAGAAATTTTTAAGGACTCTGTTAATAAAAGTCATTTGAATTTTGTTAGTGTCATCAAAATAATTCAAAGATGAGTTAGGTTTTTATTGGAGCAATATGGTTGTTTTTTCTGTATCGTACCTTCCACTCTATATCTAGACATAGTAATTGTAAATAAAATTTCGGGCAGTGGTTCTATCGCTTCTACCTGCTCATCGAAGTTTTAAAATTTTAATATTTTCTGCACTATAACACCCAGTAATCTAGAAAAGAATTCGTTGGAAAAGTCTCGTAGGCGGGCTCAATCCTATTGGGTCTAGGTATGAATTGGTATAGGGTGTTAAAATTTATTTCTCACACACCTATTCATACTACGAAGGCAAGGCAAACAAAACTCATGTTTATAATACGTCCTGGACATATTTCGAATAATTTTTTTGAGGTTTTACTAAAAATAAGGTTTCACTATAATACTACAAGCATTTCTAAATCGACACAAATATTTCTAATTTTTCTGCAAGCTTATAGAACTGAGTAAACAATGCACAATTAGTAAAATTTGTATTAAGGTCATTGATCTGTTAATAATAACATTATTCACTTTTTTTTTTAAATATTCAAGAAAAAATTTAAAATGTTTTCTTTTTTTTTTAAAGAAATCGTTTATCTTTTTTGTATATTTAAGTTAAATATAGTGTCGGGACACATTTGTCAAGGATGTCAGTAACTATATGGAAGAAATTGTATTTTCCGATATTTTAATAAATGATTATGGTAGCAAATGTTTCATTATAATTCCATAATAATATGTTTAAGAGCATTAAATGCAATTTTGAACAAGGAAAAAAATCCCCTTAATCATCATCATCATCATTGGTATTGAAAATACATTTTCGTTCTTCATATTTCGGATACCAAAATAAAAAAAAAAGTAAAAAATTCTACTCATCATTTGGAAAAAAAAAATCATCATCAATCGTTTTACTTAATATATTTTTTTTCTTTTCTTCCATAATCATTCGATTTCCATTTACAAGTCGTTTTACTTGCTCTAATTTCATATATGCACTTTAAATAATATGAAGATAGAAAGAAAACTGAATCCAAATAAATTGATCTATACATAAAATAAATGTTTTAAATGTAAGCATGAATATGAATCTTTCGAATTGTATGTATGTACATATGTAAATGTATTCGTATTTACATTTATCAAGGCACTATTTTTATCTTTATCTTTGTTCATCGTAATTTTTCAACATTCCGGTTGTTGTTTTTTTCCGATTTGTATTCCATAAACTCACATAAAAAAAAAAAAAACAATGGAAACTAATCAAGTCAAAAGAAACAGATTAGAACATTGAAAAGTTGAAGAGCTTAAGAGGCAAAAAAAAAATATTCCGTTTAAAAAGAAAAATATTGCAAATTTTCTTTTATTTTCATTTTTTTACTTAAAGTGAAAAAAACAAAATATTTATTAAACGTTTTTGAGGAAGAAAAGTGAGCATATAAGTATCTGAAGAAGAACAACCATTAAAATTTTAAAGAAACTATAAAAGAAAATTAATAGACTATTGTTCAAGAATTTGTGAGTGGATTGGTAATATCTAAAATTTCTTCTTTTAGTATATAAAGTGAAAATAATCCTCAACATATATTCTTAAAACTTATACACAAAAACATTAACTTACAGGGAAATTTCAATGCATCCTGATATTTTTTTAAAAAGTAAAAAGGTTTAATAAAAAAAAATATGTAAGAGCATTTATTTTTCAAACTATAGTCCCTGTTTTAACTAAGTTAGCAAGAGCAGGAGATATCAATTTTATGGCAATTCAATTTTTATTTAAAGTATACAAATTATATAATAATATTGTAAAAAAATGCACAGATGTGTAATTCTTCTACTTACTGTTAAAATTTCTTTTATAGTAAATTGAATTTTTGATATTTTTAAGCATATTGTTAAAATAAATAATTTTAAATATTAAAAATTTATTTGATATTTTAGGAAATATCACATGTTTGCTCCGGTGTTATAGAAATATTACATAAGAATAAACGATCTTTTACTATTAACTGTTAAAAAGTAGAGAAGATAACTATTAACTGTTTATGGTTGCTACTCGCTAACTTCTTTTTAATCCAAATGAAGATTGAGATGAGAAGCTTTGTTTGACCCTGAAAGCTCTTTATTATTTTTTTATTGATCAGAGCATTCGAAAACTGCAATAATTAATGGTAGTTTTGTTTAAATTACTTGATTTGCAAAAAACTTTTCTATGTTTACTGTACCACATGAGAACACACATGTCATAAACCAAATATTTCTTCCGGTAAATCTAAATTTTACCTTTGCCTTATTTTATTTCAGTTTTTATCTAATTACTTAAAAAAACTTTTTTTGAAACTTTTAAATGCTCAATTATTATTGAAAAATATCCTATTCATGGTAAAAATTTATAATTATATTATATAGCTATTTTAATTATGTCGATGATGAAGTGCACATATACGCTAAGTACCAAAGTTTTCAAAATGCGTTTTTTTGCACCAATACTAATTTCGGCCCCCTTTTTGTGGTAAAGGTTTCAAAGACGTATGTATATTATTAGTTTCCAAACTGGACGGGGTACAAATAGGTTAAGTGCAAAATCGAAATAGCGAAAAAAGGCTAAGTGCTTTCTTAGAATGTTTCTATTACAAAAATTGATATAGTGATGAAACACATAAATATACTACTCGTAAATACAGCTAAATTAGTATTAGAAATTTTAACACAGCTAACCATTTTATGCTTAGCGCGCGACTAATTTGCAGCATAAGTTAACTATGCAGTGTTATTCTTATTAACTGATTGAAATCAAACTTTCAAACCGTTTCCTTGCAAAGTTTTAAATTTGTTACTTAGCACATTTGTGCAATTCATTGTCGATGTGTGTATACAATTTTTAATATTGTTGTTAAAAATTTATTTTCCCTGCATTCTTCAAATTTATATTGAATTTCTTTTTTTTAATTTTCAAATTGGTAATATAAAAGGATATAAAAAAAATTTTTTATTCTAAGCAAAAATTACAATAAAAACAATAATTTTGTATACTTTTACGGTATACATATGAAATAGAGAAAATGACCGTAAACTATAATTATACATAATTTTTTTTTTCAAAATTTGCATTAAATTGATTTTGTATGCAGAAAATATTTTTAATTTCCATTCTTATTTTACTCTTCTGCTCTATTTTTGTATAGATTCTTTGTATGTGTTACAAAAAGAATAAATATCGGAAATTCATTATACCCGTACGAACGTATGTTCGAAGGGTATACTAAATTTGCCTTACCGTTTGTAACGCTAAGAAATAACGGTGTTAGATATAGACTCAAGTGTATGTTTTTGATCAGCGTCAAATTCTGAGTTGATTTAGCTTTGTCTGTCCGTCGGTCCGTCCGTCCGTCCGAACGATAACTCAAAAACTAATTGAGCTAAGTTCACCAAATTTTCACAAATGATTTATTGTAGTAAGTGCCAGAACCCTATTTAAATTGGACATGATCGGGGTACCGGTTCGGGTAGCTGCCATACAACTTCAAAATTTATTTGGCTATATCTCAGAAACTATAAAAGCTGTGGTATTGAAATTTCACACAAACGAATATATTAGTAGGGCCAATATACCCCATAAAAGTCGTTGAAATTACTTGGCTCCTTCTGGTACCTGCCATACAACTTCAAAAGTTATTTGGCTATATCTCAGAAACTATAAAAGCTGTGATATTGAGATTTCACACAAGTGAATATATTAGTAGGGCCGATGTGTCTGGTAAAAGTCGTTGAAATTGCTTGGCTCCTTCTGGTACCTGCCATACAACTTCAAAAGTTATTTGACTATATTTCAGAAACTATTAAAGCTATGGTATTGAAATTTCACACAAGTGAATATATTAGTAGGGCCGATGTGTCTCGTAAAAGTCGTTGAAATTACTTGGCTCCTTCTGGTACCTGCCATACAACTTCAAAAGTTATTTGACTATATCTCAGAAACTATAAAAGCTGTGATATTGAGATTTGACACAACTGAGTATATTAGTAGGGCCGATGTGCTTGATAAAATTCGCTAAAATTTCTTGGCTCTTTCTGGTAGCTGCCATACAACATCAATAGTAGTTTGGCACAACCAGTATTTTGAATAACACATAGTACTGAAATTTTGCATAAATTAATATGGTAATATGGCAACTTAAAGTCATAGTCTGCCCCATAGTTAGTTATGCCCCATTAGTTATTCGCACATAGGATAACAAATTCGTACGGGTATCACAGAGTTGACAAGGTCAACTCTATTTTTTTTCTCGTTTTAGTCTAAAAGCAAATTTGTAAGTTTCAAATCAATATTTAAACAAAGTGCATTTACATAAGTTTGTAATACAGTATTCAGGCCGATTTTCATGTTATTGATAAAATATAAAATTATTCTAGTATAAACAATGAAAAAATACAAAGTGTTTCAAGAAATAATTATGAAATTTTGAAATAATGTAAAATTGTATTAAAAAATATGTCTGACGTGATCAATACGTGGTCACCTAACTGCATTGTGTACTTCTTCAATAATATTTACAAATTCTAATATTCTAGCACATAAATTTCGCACATGGTACGAGTCGATAGATTCCAACCCCGTCAGACATTCTTTATAATTATGGCTATTTGAGATAACTGAGAGTCTAGCATATAGATTATTAAGGGCTGTTTCAATGGAATTCAATATAGTTCCGTTACTTGAAACTGTATAATATCGTAATCCTTAAGAATCTGTATTCTAATTCATTCGAATGTATTTGAACTAATCGAAAGGACGTTTTTATTTAAATTATATTTTCTTATAAAGTTAAATGACAATATTATTACTGCACATAAATTTATTCTTATTTCCTTTTAAATTTCGAAAATTTTATTAATTTTTTACATATTTTACTATTTGCAGGTGAGATATCACGATTTTTGTATATTATAGTAAGTAAAATTCATATTTGTAATATTTAAAATATTTTACGATATAAAATATGTTTTAAATGAGTAGTCTTTGAGTTGAAAAAATTTTACGACAAAAAATTAATTCCAATTTTTAATTATTTATTTAGTATATTTTTCCAAAGAAGTTTTAACCCTTAACTACTATTTTTTAAAAAAAGTTCAATTAAATTAAATGTACGCCTGTTGATTAATTTTTTATGAAAAAAAAACTAAATGCAGACTTTATTTAAAGGCTAGATAGGGCACAATTCTAATTCAAATTTTTAAGCAAAATTGAGTTAAATTAAAAATGTGTGTCTCACTAAAATATAATGTACAGCTTGGCGGGCTATGTAAACTCTTATGAACAGTTCCCAATACAAAAATATACAAAAATGTGTTGTTTTTAGCAAAAATTATAACTAAAATTGTTACAAATTTAAATATGCAATAAATTCGGGGAAGTACATAAGATTCTATTAATACATTTTCGAGCACTTCGCTCAATGATGAGCTCGAAGTCGACATTTCATTGAAATTAATGGATTTTTGTAATATTATTTTAAAAATTTCTCGTTGTTTAATTCGGCAAACTCTTCCACACGACGACACATAAATGAGACACTGTGTACATGAAGGAAGTTGTGTAGGAAAATTTGTAAAAAAAAATTATTTAAATGAAAATAAATGAAAATAAGAATAATTTCTTATTTAATATTCTAAAATTGTATTTTGCAAAAGTTTGAAATAATTAAAATATTGGATATTTATTTTCGGAAAGAAGAACAACAACAAAAAAACACAACTTTTGCAATAACTTTAAATGAATGTTAAATTTAATTTGGTTTTCTTGTACTTTTCTATTTGTTTTTTTTCTTTACTATGGAATTTTAAGATTTTGGGCATAGAATACAACAAGTTGTGAAGTAAAAAGAAATTAATTCTTATTTCTTTTCAATTTGTAACTAAAATTTTTTGTTGTCTTTTAACTTAATTTTGTTTTACTCTCGTTTTTTTTTTTTTTTTTGCAAACTATTTCTTACTTTACGTGACAAATTTTTAAAAATAGTCAAAAGAATTCAACATTTTCTCATTTTGCTTGGGTTTTAACAGATTTCTTCTATATTGGTTAATACAATGACTCTTAAGATAAAAGCTAAAGATAACAATGAAATGAACCCATTACGCTTTTCTTGATAATTTTAGATTTGATTTTATGCCAAAATACATGATTACAATGCAGAATTGAATTTAGAGTCGATGTGCCAATAACAGAATAGAAACTTTGGATTTATCTTTAAATCTTCCTACATATATTTATATATATAATAAAAACTTTCATGATTTATGTAAAATTTATCCTGAAAACGTTTAATGTAGCAAAAACAAAAAAAAGGAAAACTTTCACAATTCTTTTAATTTCATGTAATTTTTCTTTTCTTTGCGGTTTTTCATTATAATGCAATTCTTAAGTTTTTGTTCAATTTTTGAAACAACTATTTTAAAACTTTTTTTTGGGAACCAAAACAACAAAAAAAGGGAAATTAAGCGAAAAAATGTCATTTTTTTTTTTTTTTTTTAATTTAAAAAAACTTACATTGCTTCACGTTCAACTAATAATTCTGATAAATTTTTTGTTCCCAAAACATTTCTTAATGTTGTTGCTGCCAATAATCTCGTTGAATGACTATAATTTGATACTTGTATAACAGCTTTAAGTGGATCACTTATTCTATAATAGACGACTGCATCAACTGTTACAGTAACAGAATCTTTTGTTAAAACTTCTTGTGGTGGTACATCAAATGATACTGTTCTTAAATCAACTTTACAATAATCATCAACGCATGGTAGGACAAAAAATACACCGGGACCTCGAGCCCCACCACTCCTTGAAAAAAATAAAAGTAATAAAAAATATATATACACATATACACATGTTAATATTTTTTTTTTTTTGGAATTTTTACTAAATTTTATTCATACCTGAGTCGTCCCATTCGAAATATAACTGCTCTTTCGAATTCTGAAACAACTTTGAAGCATATAAAAATTGATATTGGAAATGTTAAAATTAGTAACAGCACTGACAGTATTGTCGCAACAATTTCAACGCATGTCATATTTTCATCTTCAGCTGAAATTTATAAAGAAGAGATTAATATTTTGAAAATTTAGTATGTTGAGTAAAAGAAAAGAGTCATTATAAAAATATTAATTTATAAAAATGTTGATTAATTAAGAAGAACATTTTGACTATCTAGAAACGTTTCTTAATTGAAAATTCTATAATATAATTTCAGACATGAAAATTTTTGACGTAAATTTTTGAAATAAAATTTGTTCCTAAAAATTTATTTATGTAGCAAACGTATGTTCGAAGGGTATACTAAATTTGCCTTACCGTTTGTAACGCTAAGATATAACGGTCTTAGATATAGACTCAAGTGTATGTTTTTGATCAGCGTCGAATTCTGAGTTGATTTAGCTTTGTCTGTCCGTCCCTCCCAGCGATAACTCAACAACTAATTGAGCTAACTTCACCAAATTTTCACAAATGATTTGTTGTAGTAAGTGCCAGAATCCTATTTAAATTGGACATGATCGGGTTACCGGTTCGTGTAGCTGCCATACAACTTCAAAATTTATTTGACTATCTCTCAGAAACTATAAAATCTGTGGTATTAAAATTTCACACAAACGAACGTATTAGTAAAATTTGTTGAAATTGCTTGGCTCCTTCTGGTACTTGCCATACAACTTCAATAGTAATTTGGCACACACAGTAATTTGAGAAACACAGTACTGAAATTTTGCATAAATTAATATGGAAGTACGGCAACTTAAAGTCATAGTCTGTCCCATAGTCAGTTATGGAATATTGATTCGCACATAGGATAACAAAATCGTACGGGTATCACAGAGTTGACATGGTCAACTCTATTTTTCCTCGTTTTAAATAAAAATCAATAATTTCCATTTATTCGACATTTTAGAAATTTTGACAATACAAATACCTAAAATTCTTATTGAAATCATTGAGAACAAATATTTCTTTGCTGGGCATTCAAAATTACTTCGATAGCATTGTCTTAAAACCCAACAATGTTAATTGGTAAAATATCCATTATTACAAGATCATTTTACACAATAGTATTACAATATTAATATTCTAAATATTTATAGTGTACAATTTTTTAAAATAATTGCCAACTAATTGAATTAAATTATCATTATTTCGGCTTAGTTATACACAGTTAGTGGTAATATTTAAATTTATTTATCTTGTGCTGCACTTCAGAACCACAACTTATTGGTATACACAAATATTCGATTCGAACAAAAAAATTTTATTTTCGAAGATTTAGTAAATTTTTTCTCACAAGAATTCCAAACTTAATGACAAAAACTATTTTTTAATTAATATTTTCTTCCATTTGAATTTTTTTTTAATTTTTCTTAATCTTACGTATTTTGCAAATGCACTCATAACCTCCATCTTTTGGTTTTCTACATCCGACTTCCATAATATACTTATAAATTATTCGAATCTTAACACAAAACAAAAATTTGAATTATTAATATTGTAATTATGATTATAAGTGGGTAATTTGTATTACGATAATTTCCTAATAAAAATTTTACATTATCGATTCATCACACTTTTAATATTTCAATTTAAATTTGATCTTTATTATTTTTATTTATAATTCAATAGCTTTTATTCCCGTATTTTATTTGCTTCCTTTTTAGAAAATATTGTGTAAATTTTATAATTCTTTTTTCTAAATATTTTTTGTTTCAAAGATCTTATGTTAAACGTACGTGCCTGGCACGTTGAACACAATGTTAACTCAATCGATCAAATTCGAAACTAAAAACCACAATAATAAATTTTTTTTTTCTTTTTTCGATATTTGAGTTCTGTAAAATATCGTAATTGTGTATAAGAAAATAAAAAATATTAGAAAGTACGATAAAAATTTGAGAACAGAAAAAAAAATTGGAACAGCGTGCCGGCACAGTTTACTTTTTTTTTTTCTTTTGGAATTGTAATTTATATAGTAATCGGTTTACCGATAGTGATTAAATTTTTAAGAATTAAACAAATCGAATTAAAATTGGAAATTTTTTTTGTGAATTTTTTTTTCCTTTTATTTTTGTTTTTTGTTTGCCTTATATTTTCACAATGTTTCACTTTTGTTTAGATTATCTGTTGCCTTAATTTTCAAATTCTATAATATGTATAACTATACATATGTATACCTATTTAAAATGTATGTGCGATATTATATCGTTTGTATTTGGATCCACTGCCCTAATAAATTCTACTACATTTTTTTCTTTTCTTTTCTCTTACTTTCATATTATTAAAATTTAATCGTTTTCTATTTAAATGGAAAATTTGCAGAAAGGAAATTTCCTTAAATATTTTTTTTTAATAAAAGTGAAAAATTTGTGTAAAATTTAATGTAAATGGAATATTTAAAGACCTGACTGCTCCAGAAGAAAAAATTGAGTTGGTTATTGAGGAAAAATTTAGATTTACGCTTAAAATTGAAATTTTTAAATACTTATATTCATCGACTACACTTAGCGTGTAGACTTAGGAAACACCTCAGTAGACTGGGCATGGAAAGTGAAAACACTTGCAGATTCTGCGGAGAGGATGGGGAGACCTCATTATACCTTTCTGGGGAGTGTGATGCTCTAGCTCATACGTAAAGCGAAAAAATGGGGGGGGGGGCTTTGCTTTCGGAGTTATAGTCTTCTGGGCCCCACAAGTTACTTTAATACTTTTAAAACATAACATAATGTAGGATAAATATAATTAAACTGTAAATACTAATTGAAATTTACAGAAAAGTGATGAGAATTATTTTAGATTTATAACGGAAAATAAGTAAAATTTGTCTCTCAATAATAAAAATCTCAAAAATATTAAATATATAATTTTTTTGACAATTCAATTTGAGCTTTGATAGTTACCTTTGGGATCAATATTATAGCAATAGAGTTTTTAGTTCCAATTGAAAGCTGTGACCGCTTTAAAATAAAATTGTAAATTGAATTCAACTACCATATTCTATATTTAATCACCCAGTCTTACTCTATTGAACATTATAATTATAGCCGAAATTTAATAGAGCGTAATAAAGAGAGTTTAATTTAGTAAATAAGTTACTAAATTACATAATGCAATAATTGAAAATATCAAATTTAATCTTTGCACACAGCTATTTGCTCTCATAAATGTAGTTGTACAGACGAAAAAAAATTGTAATCACATTTTAAAAAATTTAGTAATTTATTGAAATTAGACTGAGATGAAAAATATTGCTTTTTTCTTTATAAAGCAAGATAAATCGAGTTCGATTGAGGTTTTTATATTTTTTTGCCCCCGTTGCTTTGTATGTGTATATAAACTTTGGCCAAACGAATACAAAAATTTTTCCAAATAAATAAACACAAAACGCAAGAAAAACGAACAAAAAACAAAAATACAACAAAGAAAAATTATTGACTGAACATTTTCGGATGCAGAAAATTTCCATGAGAAAAATCTCGTGTATTTCTCATCAGCTTCTGTTTTTTATCATCAAAGGAAAAGAGAAAAAGAAAAAAAAAATATATAACCAAAAAGCATCCAACAGCCAAATGAATTTTTTCAGTATTACTTTACTAAATTTTGTTACATGATTTTGATATGCGGATATGCGGAATGGTGTAAGTAAAAAGAGAATATAAAGAGTGGGGGAGGGTAATATCAATGATGATGGATAAAAAATTGATTTTTTCGTTCAGCTCGTAATTCGTAATTGTTAAACTGAAAATTCATTGCTGATAAATTTAGACATTTTAAAAGATTTTGCACTAAACCATTTTTTTTTTCCATCTGAAATTCTGAAATGTGAAAATTTGTTTATTGATTTTTTTTTTCTTATTTCTTTTTTGTGGTTTCTTGTTATTATTTCTCTGCTCCATATTTTCATATTTTCTGTTTTGTAAATTTTTACTTTTTTATTTTTACATTATTTTGTTATGGCAAAACTAAATATTGGGGGAATCAATATTTTCCATGAAATTTTAATAACTATAAATTTTTATGAAAATTTAAAAGAGAGAAAAAAAAATGTTATGAAAATTTTTTAAAACATTAAATTAAGCGATTTTAATAATGGCTAAAATAAATTGGCATTTAATGTGTAGTATGCTATTAAATTGAGTGATTGAAATGGTTAAAAGTAGTTAATTGAAATGGAGAAGTAAAATTAGTTAAAAAATCTGAACCATGTAAGATAAGGGCATTTTCAAATCAACAAAGGACAGACTAGTTGAGCAACAACTAGTTCCTTTCTATGCTGTTTTAGAAGTTTATAATTTTATTAAGCACATATTGGATAATCTGGCGTCATCTAAAAATTTTAGAGTCAGACTATTCAACCCATAAAGCGCTGTCTTTTCGAACTTGCTAAATACTTTTTCTAAAATTAAATTGGAAATAAAGTTTTTGGATCTATTTCTTGTATATCATAATAGGACCTTTCATACGATTCCTACTTCATAATATAATTTCAAAAAAATTATCACAAAACTTAGTTGAATAATGTCAGTTGTAATGTTTATGTCGAACCCAGAGATTTCATTTTAATATCTTTCTAATACTGTTTGAAATTTCCATGTTAAAATTAATTAAAGCGGTGAATCCAAAAATATAATTGGAAAATTTTTCTTTAAAATATTAAATATTTTTAACGAAAATTATTAGCAGGATTTTCCCAAATAAAGAAAAAAAAAAATAAGGAAAAAATTGAATTAATTTGTTTAAAGAAAATTTATTTTACACGAATAAAGTTTATTATTTCTGTTTTACCGTTTTGACGTCACAAAACGAAAAGAAAACATATAATAAATAATTTTGTTTAAATGTTGATGATTCTTTGATGCAAGTTTCTAAAATAAAATGTCAGAATTATTGAAATTTCAATCAGTGAAAAAAATTTTGTTATACTTTTTAAACAACTTTAATGCCTTAATGTAAAATCGCGAAAATAATGAACGGATGCGTTCATGACGAATTAATTTGATGATAGTATGAAAATTAATGATACAGCAGGTACGCTTTTATTGTATATGTGTTTATATTATACAGATTATTGGAATAATTAATTTAAATGTTTATAAGAATTTCTGTTTTTCATATCTTGCAAAAATATTTTGTGTAATTGCAACAATGATTTATAGTAAAAAAACTATGAATTTGTAATTATGTTTTTGTATAACAGTTGAGGTAGAATGTATGACAGAACAAATAGTCTTTGTGATATTGCACACTTGTGTTTTAAAAACGAGAATAGATAGAATTGACCATGTCAACTCTGTGATACCTGCACAATTCATTCATTTAATTTTAAAAGTTTTATGGTAATTGCCACACCAATTTTCTTAGGGCTTCGTGTCGTTTTAAATGAATAATGCTATTTTATAAATATATGACAGTAACTGCCAAAAACCATACAATCACGAATAGTTTTACAGAAAATAATGGCCCTCATAACCAAACTCGTTTATGAAAAATTTCAGCACTGTAGTTTCAGTAGTTTCCATAATATACGATCAAGTGACTTTTGAGGTTGTATCACAGCTATTACCAGAAGGAACCGAGCTATTTTATCAAAAATAAAATTTAAATTTTTAGAAAATATTTTCATATTTTCAGTATGCGTAATATTTATGTTCGCATACGTGTTCAGTTCAGCACGTGCATTATATTTTTAGGATATTTTTTTAATCTTCTTTGAAATTTTTGATATTTTAATGACAATTTTTGAATCCTATGATTAACTTGAAAAAACCAAAACTGGTGAATTTTTTTTAAATTAAATTTTTAAAAGGATTTGTCACTGTTTTTTTCTGTAAGAAAAATAAATTTTACCATCAAGCAAACAACTAAGTTTATATTAACAAACTAAGAAGTAAAAACGATTCAGTTGATCTTAACCAACTTTAGTATACCCTACCTGCACAATGTTAGTTTGATTATAAAAATTCGTTTTTGAAATATTTAAAATTAACTCTTAGGGTTGCTTTTCAGTTACACGAATTCCAAAACTTACATATCTATGAAGCTAGATGTATAATGTTATGGGCTATAATAGGCACATGACTGCCGAATCTTATACTCATATTTTTCCAAATATTTAATATAATCTCTTTGAGTTGTATGGCAGCTTCCAGAACACCGCGTTTAAACGTATCCAATTGCAAAAGCAGGCATCCTCGCCATAAAACGAATACTTTTCTAAAAGTTTAGTGTTTTTTTCTCTTTTGTTTTTTGGTTGTGCGATTGAACAGTCGACGCAGAATTTTACGTCGAGCGAAAATATAACCTGTATTTTCATACAGTAAACGACTCATATAAAATGGTCCCGGTTAGCAAAGCAAAGTTAATATATACCCTTCAATGAAATGTAGGGTATAGAAAAGGATTCATAAAATCTTACTCTAATGTAAAAGTTGCAAAATTTATTTTCGTAAAAGCGTCTATTTAATGCGGTATGTGTATTTATGTGTATATGCTCGTGATTTTAATACAATAATAAATTATAATGTTTGTATATTATATTTTACATAAATCCTTTTTGGTTATTTTAAGTTCATTTTTATAGTGTTGTCTGTTTTTTTTTTTTGCAAAAACTTCTTGAAAGCAAAAATAACTAAAAATAAATCATGTTGTGAATAATAAATTTACCATGTTATGAATAAAATATTAAAATTTTCTAAAATTTTGTATTTTAAAATGTTTGCATATGAGAGAAATATATTATGAATAG